TATCAAAATCCCACATAAGGTGCAATAAATAAAGATTGCCTTTGCAAGATGAGACTTGCACGAATCTGTAGAAAAGTTGTGACGTAGGTATTACCACAAAGCATGAAATAATTACACAATGTCATTATAAAATTTTCTCAGACTAGAAAAAAATTTCCCAATGAAATCATATCAATCTATTTCCGTACCACCACAAAGACTCATAATCACATATGGAAAGTTAGCCGTTCACAACCACAACCGCACTTTGAGTCTTGCAAGGAAAATTATCGAAGCATCTTTACCTACCAAGTTCCAGCCTCATTCATAAGATTTTGCTTCTTGACAGTTGTGGGCAGCCAAAAATTTTCCTTCTCTGCCAAATGTTCCAAAGGCAGCATGGTGATTTAATTGCCATCCCTTGCTGATCATTTGACTTTTTTTTTCTCCCATCAATAAGCAGTTTAAGGGGTCTCAATGCTAATCACAGTTGTCCGCACGTGAGTCATTGACTGGTGTGGTTTTATATAGATCAACGGCTACCATTCATCTACGTGAGCACATCGATGTTAGCATACCGGCATACCCTATTTCCAAAAGGAAAACAAACAAACAAATAAAATCCTTGTCACATAAATACTGCGTAAACAGGTAGTACTAAAAATCATATTCATATATGACTATTATTCTATAAAATTTCGTGGCTCTTGAACTGCTGTGTAGGAGCAGGAACCGGACTTATTTTCCTTGTTTCGCTCGCCTTGTAATCCCCCATATAAAACTCATTAGCCCTAATCACCCTTAACGCCCATAAAAATCTACTCCCTTATTTTTTTCTCTCTCTCTCTTTCTCTTGATTTTCACACCTCTCTCTCCTTCTCTGTTACATCACCCAGCCATTCCTGTCAAAGATTCATATTACTTAGAAAGTCTCTTGTCGGTTCAAATTCTGATGTCCCAACTTGCTTGTTTTGATCTACAATAAGTATGAAGGTTGAAATTGAGTGGTTTGCTTTTGCTGCTGTTGTTCATGAAATGTTTTAGAATGGAAGTTTGAGGCTTGACTTAATTAACAGTGTAGAAAAGAAATCCTCTGTGTGTGCCCATTGTCCTTCTTGGCTTTCTTTATTATTTTTTGGGTTGTGGAGTTTGTCCTTTTATTGAACAAACTGATTTTGACTTTCTTTTTTTTGGTAAATACCACGAGGTCTCCCCACACTCGAAAAGTGAGAATTCGGCTTGTCTCTGGCCACAAAGTGCTTCCAACGGGTTTCAAACCCCTGCCATTGAGGCACCAGGTAGCTCGCTAACTGGAGGTGGCAGTTTGCCAACCGCACCACACCTTGTGGTTAACTGATTTTGACTTTCATGATGGTGATGATGACACATTGCTTAGGCTTTACTTAACTTTTGCTTATTTGTGTTCATGGGATTTTGATTTTTTTTTTTTTTTTTTTTGGTGTTGAGAGAATGGGATTTTGATTGATAAAATAGGGTTTGTGGATTCTTTGATGATGGGAGGCTCTAGTTATTGGAGATAAAGAAAACTAGTTTGCTAAATTGCGCTTAGTATATGTATCTTATGTGTGGTGCTGATTCTGCTCAAGAACACTTTGTTTATACTTGGTGGACCAGTTGTTGTGAGTGTCCCATTATTAGAGTTCATAATTTGTGCCATGTTAGAGTTCATAATCCCTTGTCTTTCAAATTATAAATAATTAGCAATTTAAGCTCTTTTTCGACTCGTAAGCAAAAACTATGCCAGTTTTCATGTGTCATGCTGCTTGAATTATACTTACTATCTAAGTTAGAAAAAATAGATAGATGGCCTGTAAGGTGTGGTTATATATGCCATACATGTGCTCTGTTGTATGTTCAAGTGTTTGGTGAAGTATCTGTGCTCCGAATTACATATTTTGAGAATCTAGATTTGAGTTTGGCCATATAATTCCTAACTAGCTTTTCAGCAACCAACCTAAGCATTATCAAATGAGTGGAATATATCCAAACCAATGCTTTCACTTTCAAAATTCTCATGATTGCTCTTATCTTAGCGTGTCCATGATGATGGTGATTTTGTAGGTGTCTTTGGTTTTAGATACTAAGAAAAACAAGGCCTGGAACTTGGAAGATAGCTAATCTGCAGCACTCTATGGGGGAAGATGATGATTATACGAACGATGGGACTGTGGACATCCATAAAAATCCTGCTAACAAGAAGAAGACTGGAAATTGGAGAGCATGCCGCTTTATTCTTGGTATGGCTTTATTTGTTATTCATTTCTTTTCTGTTTATTATCCCCTTCATGGTACTCTGTAGGGCCTATATTGATCACTACATAATTCTGTTGCAGGAAATGAATGCTGTGAAAGATTGGCATACTATGGAATGAGTACCAATCTAGTGAACTATCTTGGGAAACATCTCAGCATGGGAAATGTCGCCGCATCAACCACTGTTAGTAATTGGTCCGGGACGTGCTACGCCACTCCATTGATAGGAGCCTTCCTAGCTGATGCATACTTGGGAAGATATTGGACAATTGCCATCTTTTCAGTTATTTATGCTCTTGTAAGTTTGGTCCAAATAAAAACTCTTCTCCTCTCAGAATATGGGACATGAAAGTTTGAAATGGATATAGTGATAAGTTTATACTTTACTGTCAAGCCTTTTAGTGCACATGTTATCCAATTTGACATAAAAAACCATAACTTTCATCTGTGTTTTGCCAAACCATGCTGATGTTTCATTCTTGGCCATACTCTCTAGCCACAATCAAACTTTTCGCTATGGATTTTTTATTGTTTGCTGTTTTGGCTGCATTTAGACAAATTGATTTTAATATAGATTTTTGTTCTTCTCCAAGAGGCTATTTATTGAAGAATTGTTCTGTTTTTGTAGGGGATGACTTTCTTAACACTCACTGCCTCTATCAAAGGACTAAAACCGCAGTGCGATAAATCTGGTTGCCAGGCTACGTCATCACAAAGAGCAGCCTGCTTTGTAGCACTGTACATGATTGCACTTGGCACTGGTGGAATCAAGCCATGCGTTTCATCCTTCGGTGCAGATCAATTTGATGAAACTGACGAGACTGAGAGGAAGAAGAAGAGCTCATTCTTCAATTGGTTTTACTTGTCAATCAATATTGGTGCACTTATTGCTTCCACAGTTTTGGTCTGGATACAAATGACTGTGGGATGGAACTGGGGGTTCGGAATCCCAGCAGTTGCAATGGCCATTGCTGTTGTGTTCTTTTTCTTGGGCAGCAAGTTATACCGTCTTCAAAAACCAGGAGGGAGTCCCCTCACAAGGATTATTCAGGTCATTGTTGCATCCATCAGGAAATACAATGTAAAAGTTCCAGCTGACAAGTCTCTTCTCTATGAGACTCCAGATGAGGAGTGTAATATCCAAGGAAGCCGCAAGCTTGAGCACACAGACAAGCTAAGGTAAGCTCACACAGCTAGAATTTCAGTAAGCTACAGATAAGTTTTCATTTAAAAACCATATTCAATCTTTAAGTTCGTTTGATTATGCCTCGACATAATATTCGTCGAATTTCAGGTTCTTCGACAAGGCTGCTGTGGAATCAGAAACTGACCATGACAAGGACTTGCCAAATCCATGGAGGCTCTGCACAGTGACTCAAGTAGAGGAGCTAAAGTCCATTATCAGATTGCTTCCAATATGGGCATCTGGGATAGTCTTTGCTGCAGTATACAGTCAAATGAGCACAATGTTTGTGCTGCAAGGCAACACAATGGACCAACACATGGGCCCAAACTTCAAGATCCCATCAGCTTCCCTCTCCCTCTTTGACACAGTCAGTGTCATTTTCTGGGCTCCTATATATGACCAAGTCATTGTCAAATTGGCAAGGCGGTTCACTGGCCAGGAAAGAGGCTTCACCCATCTGCAAAGGATGGGCATTGGCCTTGGCTTGTCCATATTTTCCATGGTCGTTGCTGGGATTTTGGAAGTTGCTAGGCTTGGCATTGTGAGGAAGAACAATTATTATGACCTTGAGTACATACCCATGTCAATTTTCTGGCAAGTTCCTCAATATTTCATCATTGGGTGTGCAGAAGTTTTCACTTTCATTGGACAGTTGGAGTTTTTCTATGACCAGGCACCTGATGCCATGAGAAGCTTGTGCTCTGCTCTCTCACTTACCACAGTTGCTTTGGGTAATTACCTCAGCACTCTGCTTGTTACTGTGGTAACTAAAGTTACCACAAGAAATGGGCACCCGGGTTGGATCCCAAATAACTTGAACAGAGGCCATCTTGACTATTTTTACTGGCTCTTGGCTGCCCTCAGCATCATCAACTTCTTTGTGTATCTGTGGATTGCTAAGTGGTATACTTACAAGAAGGTGACAGGGCGGGCGAACTGATAGAGGTTACAGCAGAAAGGCACTAGGAGGAGACTGGCGCTTGTGAATCTTCTTGCTGGTCTGCCATTGTAGTTTCTTTCTTCTTCTTCTTCTTTTTTTTTTTTTTTCTGTCATTGCTAGTTGAAAATATTGTCTGGGAATTTGTGTGTTAATTTCAAAATAGAATACTGGTGTTTTTGAATTTTTCTTAATTTCTCGACTTTAGGGCAATTAATCCACCATGTTTTGTGTCAATTATTTCTTTGTAAGCAGATTTCGCTTTTGTTTTCAATTTACAAGCAGAGTCTGTTCAAATTAGTAAAAGAAACAAATCTACTTCTGGAGGTGTATTAGTTTGATTATGAATACAATTTTCACCTTGCAATTAGGTCAGTTGTTTTGGGCAGTGTGTCCACCCCCTTGCATCCAAGCTCGAGTCCCCATCTTCATAAATTGATTAATTTAGAATAATTTAGACTATTGCTTGCATTTATTTTTAAAAATAAAAAAAAGAATAGAACTTTCACCTCATGCACAGGGACCGCTGTTCCAGGCCATCAGGACATTCTTTTGGGTTTACAATCTATTCTTTTTCTTTACACAATTTGGTGATAAAAATCCACCTTTTTAGAAACATTCATGTGTAAGAAACAACTATTTATACTAATGGATAATGTAACACCACATGAGAGGCTCAGAAGGACCTAAAAACTGTTACATATAAAATATCTACCCTTCTCTCTCTTTCTATTTCTCCCTCTCCTTTATCCAAACTCAAAGCCAACACTGAAGGCAGAGAAGATGATTGGCCTCAAGCTCATTCAAACCTCTTTGACCACCACCAAGCATAACATTTTACACACAGGAAGACTGTCCAACGCTAAGAATTCCATCTTGCGCTTCAGCAAGTCCAGTGATTCTGATTCTGAGTCAGAAGCTTCCCCACCGCAAGGAGATACTCGCAAGCAGGACCTGCTGGTGAGGATAGCAATGCTTCAAGCTCAGAAAGTCCGTCTCACCGATTACTTAGACGAAAGATCCGAATATCTTACCAAATTTGGAGAAGAGGCCACCGCTGAGTTTGACAAGATTGGAGAAGACGCCCTCAAAGACCTGGATGAAGCCAGTACCAGGGTCTGTTTACGTTCCTAGTCCATGCAATAGCATTGAAAGATTTTTTTAAAAAAGGGCTTGCTATGCAATTCTGTTGATAATCCAATTCTTATTCATTTGTGATTAGCAGATTATGGAGAATATAAACAGCCGCATGCAGGCCTTCGAGGAATCTGCAGGAATTAACATTGAGCAGATGGAGAAAAATGAGAACGAGTTAGCAGCATTCGAAGGTGAGATTGACAAAGAACGCAATGAAGGGTTATTTTTTAAGAATCTGACACAGGGGAAACCGAAGGAAAAAGTGGATGCTACGGAGGAAATAAAGAAGATCAAGAAGCTTACCAAAAAAAGTGCAGGATCAGAAACCAGGAGGAACATTTACGTTGCACTGATTGGCCTGCTACTCATACAAATCGTTGACTCCTTCATCACTTCAACGCCTGATTGGAGAAAAGTTGCAGTTCTCGGGGCAATTTTTGTGGGTTTGGTTGCTCAGGTCATCTATGAGCAGAAAATGTTATCAGAAACAGAAATAACAGAAGAGGGGAAAACAGAGGAAGAAAGAAGGTGATGCTTGCCCTACTCATGAAGCAAAAACATTATGCTGTGAAATGTTCCGCCTTAACTATTTTATATAAACATAGCTTGGGTCTACACAAATATACCATGCTTTTCCTGATCAACTCAATTGTATTACAAAGTCAAAGGAGAAAGCACTAATTCCCAGCTACACAAATATAGCATGATTAATAAACCCAAGTAAACCTTACAACTTGGGTTTGATACATCAAGCCTTGCTTTTGCATCATCAAAAGGTGATCTTGGTGATATACTGCAATCACCAAAAACTATGTAACTGAGTTACATATATGATGCTTATGAACTTTTAATTACAATGGATCATGCCAAGCATGCCTTCAGATTTTTTAATTAATATGGGTTTCTATATGACCTTCTAAATGTTCTTAAATTAAACCCAGTAGTGTACAACTAAATGCATGTTAACCCATAATTGAGAACTGATTGGCTACAGACATTAAAGTCTGGTGAGGAAGGTTGTTGATACAGATTGTGTGAAAGTCACACTTGTACCAAATGCTGACTTGAAGTCTCATCCAGCATGCATAAAAGAACTTGGCATCCAACCTGCATCAGGAGCTGCGCTACTGTCATCTGCACACATATAGCATGATAAATAACCCCAAGTAAATCTCACAGCTTGGGTTTGATACATCAAGCCACTTTGCTTTTGCATCATCAAAAGGTGATCTTGGTGATATTACTGCAATCACCAAAAACTATGGCACTGAGTTACCATATATGATGCTTCATGAACTTCTAATTATTATAATTCATGCCAGACATGCTTCACGATTTTTTAATTAATAATTTTTTAGACATGAGCTTCTATATGTTCTTAAACCCACTACTCTGCAATAAAATGCATATAGACCCAGATTTGAGAACTGATTGGCTATAAAAAATAAAATCTGGTGAGCAAGATTGGCGATCCAAATTCTGGAAAACTCACACTTCTGCCAAATAGTGACCTGATCAATAAAAGAACTCGGCATCCAACCTGCACCAGGGAACAGCTATTAATGAGTATGCAACACACCCAAGAAACAAATATAGACAGTGTACAATTCATTCATACCTTATGTCACTTTCAAAAGAAAAGCATGTTCAGCGTGAAGAATATTTTGTTGTGCATTTTCATTATCAATAGATATCCCAGCATCTACCGACTAGCAAAGCAACATAGTTCCACAGGTGGCTTTTGTCACCACATGGAATCTTAAAGTCTCCCAATGCCAAACAAAATCTGAAAAGAGACTCCTCGTACAATACCAGATGAAGCAATGCATGGGATGAATTATTTCCATGCTACTTTATACCCAAGAAGAGTACTAAGTGGCCCCATTGTTGAGCACTGCCCTAACAAGTATGTACCACGTTATGGAAGTTGGAAGAATTCCAAGATGCAAAGCCTTTTCTAAAAACCTAATGGCATCTGATATTCTGCTGCATGAACAAAACCCTTTGAGTGTAACATTATAGGAGATGATATCTGGTTGTAGCCCGTCTTTAAAAATGCGGGCCCAAATTTCTGATGCCTTTTCACAGTCTCTAATTTTGTAAAACCCCTCCATCAAGGTGTTGTAGGTCACAAGATTTGGAACACAGTTCCAACTCCCCATCTGAAAATAAAGCTGCAAAGCATCTTCAGCTTTGCCCGCAGAGCAAAGCCCATGAATTATAATGTTATGCATAGTTACATCAGGCTCAGATCCCTTGACAAGAGCTTGATGCCACAAGTTGAGGGCCATGTCAATCTTCCTGTCTTGACAAAGGCCATCCATTAACAAGCTATATGTGATCACATCCGGTTTCCATCCTTCTTCCAGCATTTCTCTCACAAACACATATGCGTCACTAAATCTTTTTGCTTTGCATAATCCATTTATGAGAGTATTGTAGGAGATAACATTTGGAGAGCAAAATTTTGTACGCATTCCCCTAAAAAAGAAAATGGCATCTTCAAGTTTGGAGGCTCGGATAAACCCATATATCAATGCATTGCAAACATGAGAATTCGGTTCATAGCCACACTTATCCATCTGACCAACTAGCCTGGCTGCTTCATCTAGTTTCCCTTCCTTGCATAACCAATTAATCATTGAGGAATAAGCAAAGGCATCCAGGTCAGCTCTTGTATTTTCTGCCTCTTTTAAAATCCATAAAGCTTTGTGCAAGTACCCATTCTTACACAGTCCGTGGATTAATACTCCATAGGTTGTGGAATCTGCAACACAACCCTTCTCATGCATTAGTTCCCAGACAGAAATTGCTTCTTCGACCTTCCTGTTTTCAAACAACCCTCTAATGAATATGTTATAACTCACAACATTATGACAACCGCACTTCTCCATCACCTCCCACAACTCAAAGCACTCTTTGACCTTCCCAGCTCGACAGAACCCATTGAGCATTGCATTATAGACAACCACATCCGGTGATACCCCTTTCCCAACCATCTCTTTATAAACTCTCTCAGCTCGATCTACATTCCCTGCTTCACATAAACCTTGAATCAAAGAACTACAAGTAAACAAATCAGGCCCTCTTTCATTTTTCTTCATCCTATTCCATATCTCCAAACTCTCATCGAACTTCCCACATTTGCATAAACCATTGATCATAACATTATAAGTAACAACATTAGGATAAACCTCTGAGTCCTTTACCAGCCTATCCCAAATCTCATTAGCATTCACACTATCGCCTTTCCTGAAAAACCCATCAATCAAAATATTATAGCACATCACATCAGGACTAACCCCTCTGTCAACCATTTCATCAAACACCTCCAAAGCATCACACAAGTTCCCACTTTTCGCAAGCCCGTTGATCAAAGTCCCATAACTAAACACATCAGGCTTCAAACCCTTTTCCCACATCCAACTTAGCAACGCTTTGGCCTTCTCAAACTGCTTCTTCTTACACGAAATCTTGATCAAAATATTATAAGTCTGCAAATTCGGCGACAAACCCACCGTTTCAAAATAAGCGAAAAACTTCTCAGCTCGTTCCCACTGGTTGGACTCAATGAAAGCATTCAGCAGCGAATTGTACGACCTTATACCAGGCGCGCACCCAAAAATCTCTTCCATTTGTTGAAACACAGCCAAAGCTTTATCGGGCATTGAGTTTTTCGCATAGGCTTTGATCACAGTCAATACCACGTCCTCGGGGCACTTGCATTTCTGGGTTCGAATCAGCTCGACGACCCGGTCGACGTGGGCCACAAGTTTCGGGTCGAGAAGGCGGCGGAGGATGTGGTGGAAGACGTCGGGCGAATGGTTGTAGTTCGGGTGGCGACTCGCTGAGTCGAGCAGAGCAAGGGCGGAGTGCGGGTTCTTTTCGGCTTGGAGGAGCTTCAGAACTCGCTTCGGAGATAGAGATTTGGGGAAGTCGACCATGGCAATGGCAAAGACGCAAATTTGTGTGGTTTCTATGTCTCATTGTTACGGCATGTTATAGGGAGCTTTGATCGGACTAAAATTTTCGGCGGCTTGAAAGTCTGAAAATGGGCGAGAAGCGGGAGACAAACAAAACTATAGAGTGACGGATTTTTATGGGTCGGGTCATGGGTCGGGGTTCTAAACTGGGTGGAAACTCAAATGCTGGGGCAGACAGGCCCAACTTGGTGGATCTACTACTTTTCTGGATTCATTGATATTTGGTCAAACCATCTAACATTAAAGCCCATATGCATACATTGATAAAGGGTTTGTTTTCATTTATCTTTGAAGAGAAGAAAGGTCTCTTAAAGCCTTCTCCAACCCATTTAGTCCTAAACCCAAATCTCCCTCTTCTAAAATATAACTATTTGGGTTTTGCCCTAACTCAAACTGTTTTAGACTCAAATTTTAAATCTGAAATTTTATTAAATTGTTTAAGAATAGTTTAAGTTTTTTTTCTTTTCATGGATAATTTTTCTTTATTTAATCTTTTAAAATAACTTTATAATTTAATTTTTTTTTGAATAATTTGATATAAAAAAATTGAAATTCCATAAATATAATTTTATTTGAGAAATAGGTAGGTATTTATAGAGTTTGGAGTGAGTTTTGGGATTGGATATAATTTAGATTAATTTTAAAAATTATTTTAACCTTTGGATTTAAATTTCAACCATTGGCTCTTTTTTTCACCGTTAAAATAGCTTGGATTTAATATGGATCGTTGATTTGGGTTATTGTTGGAATTTTAAAAAAAGTATTGCGACACATGGTGCCCCATTGATTCCTCCTTGCACATGGGCTGTGTTAGCCTTAAGTGGGCTCCACCAAAAAGTTTTCCAATCCATGCAATAGCTGGACTGGTATTTACCCCAAGTTTGAGTTTTCTCAAATTTTAGCCCCTTACTTTTCAATGTTTGGTGAGAAATTGGGCTAAAATTTGGGATATTTTGAATTTGGCCTCATGGATTGGAGATGGCCAAACAATGAAAGCCCAGCCTACAAATTCAAGTAGCCTTTACAGCCCAAAACAACAAATTGACTTGAAGTCTTGAAGAAGTGTGTAGTGTAAGATAAAAACTTCCCTACCCCGTTGCATTGTCCCATTCTTTTTATCTCTCTCCTCAATAAAGGGGGCAATGCAACGGGGCTAAGAAGAGATAGGAATAAGGGGACAATGCAATGAGAGTAGGGAAGGTTTTCTCGTAATGTGGCCATGATGAGGAGAGAGAGATAGGAAGAAAGGGACAATGCAACAGGTGTAAGAAGAGATAGAAAGAATGAGACAATGCAACGAGAGTAGGAAGTTTTTTTTTTTAGTGTAGACATGATCAGGTTCATCCCTAAAAAGAAATTTAGAAAAATTGGGATCTTTCTTGTGTGAACTCCTTTTCTTTTAAGCACATCCTTTCCAAGCATACTTGTTCATCCTATCTCTCTCCACTTTATCATTAAAAAAGAGAAAGGGCAAGAAAGCAAAGACTATCTTTTCTTTCTTTCCCCTCTATCCCTTCACCTTTGAAAAGAAAAACATTTCTGCTGATGATTTTCATGCAGTTTTATAGTAAACAATAGGGCAAACCTCCCTTTATTTGTGTGTAAATTTCAAGGCTTTGGCAGCAAAACAGCATAGCTCTATAAAAAAAACACATGTAATAGCATCTCACACACCTAAAGATATGTTTGGAATATTTGTAAATCCCTAAGGGGTGTGCCTAGAAATTGGCCTCTTGGTCTGTTGTGTTGTGCGCTTCTTTCTTTCTTTGCCTCTGTCTTGCTTTAGTAACATGCCAAACTCTACATTCTTTCTTGGGATTCCTTCACTCTACTTGTATAATCATATACTTCTTTTTTGGGAGGCTCTATGATAGGATCAATTGCAATTGCAAATTGCTACCATCAAGGCCTACCTCACCTCATCTCTCTACCCTAATCTAATTGTCTCAAATTAGCCTAATCATGACCATTTTATTCGCTAAGAATGAGCCCTTAGGCTTGGATTAGGGACCATGGAGACATAAACCTAAATTAAAATTAGGAAAATTAAATACCTATTAGAGAAATCCAAAAGAAAATGAAAATAAATAAATAAATAAATAAAGGGGCAAATAGTGGACCGTTCATTCAAGATCTTTCGGTTGAAAAGATGCCATGTGGAGTGATTAGCGGCACAAATGGGGATATTGATCATGCAAATGTTCTGAGAAATATTTATATATTAATATATACTATGTGGAGTCCATGATTATGGATGGAGCAAAATGTGAATGAAGTTTAGGGTAGGAGGCATGTTGGGTCCAAAGATGGAGGCTTTGTTTAAAGTGGATGATGATCATACTATACACATTTTATTTATTTATTTATTATATAATAATTATTATTATTACTATTAAATTGGGGAAAATCAAAAGCCTCTGATTTGTATGTGCAGTGTATGCGTGTGGGGTAAAGGACTCTCAATTAGATTGTCCTTTTGCATTCATTTTCCCTTTGTAATCATGAGCATACTTTTCTCCCTTTTTAATTTTTCCACAATTAAATGTAGCAACGTGTCATCTTCTTTAACTGAGGAATTTTGGACACTCTACTACTATTAATGAGGTGAAATAAAATCAAAATTATGAATATTCTAATGCTTAGAGCAGATGTGCGAGTTCAATCCCCCTTTCTGTAGTTTAGATTAAATTAAAATAGAAATTGAAAAAAAGAATAAAAATTTGTAGACGTATAATAATTTTCAATTTAGTTTAGGATGGTGATAATTTTGTTTCTTATTGTAAAGTAAGAATATTTTGATGTAGGGGTGTATAAAAAGACAGCATAATTGGATGGATATAATGGGTTCCGCGAAATTAGTGGAATCTATGGGTGCGCATGTTTATTTTGCATTATTCGAGTAGCTAGCAGAGCTGTAATCCGTTTGGAAATTATTAATAATTATGATTCAATGAGAAAGGTGAGCTTTTCTTGGCGATGAGCATGTTTCTTACATTACATGCATGTAACCCTTTCTTATCATTTCACATTTCCCCTCCTCTATGTATACATGAATGATTGAATTCAAGTGTGTGAGATATAACTTAACGGAAGCTTCTCCAATAAAAATTTGTGTTAAGGATTAGTTATGAAATTATAATTTCAATCATATATATATATATATGTGACTCAATAACTAAGATTAGAAGTTCTCAACCGAATCTTAACATAAAATATGTAGTTTAGACTTTCTATATGTCTCGTGAGAAAAGAAGAAGTGTGTGTGAGTTATATTATTAAGGGGTTCTTAAATTTAGGTCCAAAACGATTAGCTGTCATTGGGTTTAGTCCTCGTGTTTTTGGTTTTAGATGTAAGTCCTTTGACATTTATTACTTTTTTGTTGTGTCGATTTTACCCTTTAAGGTAAATAAGGAAAACAAATTGAAAATCTAAATTTAATGCATTATTTCCTTGAAATTGAATTCCAAATTTTGAATTTTGAAATTTTTTTCCTTGATAATATTCCTAATATATAGATAAAATACAATTTAATCAATAAAAAGTTAAGACTCACATATTATACCAATTGATCAAACAAGCACCCACATTAAATTATGTACATGACATACATGTAAAAAATGTTAATACATACGAGTATATATATGTACCTGTCTTACAGGTAAGTGTTTTTTTCTTGAGTTTTCTTAAGCATTTTTTTCTGGAGGTTCATATTTATATACATATGTACATGTCTTCCATGTAATAGTGTTTTTTTTTTTCCCCAAATAAATTTTGTATGGATTTTCATCTCAGTTGAGTTTAAGGATCCATACCAAGATCTTATATGAGTTCAATTAGCTGGACTAGAGGGTATAACTACCTAGACTAGAGGTATGAAGTTTTTATGAACTCTTATTACAAATTTTGATGTCGGTATACCTTGGGAAAATTTCAGAATTCAATAAATAGATTTGCAATTAAATTCAAATCAAATATGATAATTAATATCCTACAAATC